ATTTCGAAAATTGAAATATGTATATATGTACAATACAGAAATGATACCATTAGTTATACTTGCATGTTGTATTTTGTATAATATCTGTATTGATAATGAGGATGAACAGTTTGATATTGTAGAAATAGAAAATGTAGAAATGGAAAATAGAAATAACTATGTAGGTATGGAAGGTGATGAAAAAAGAGATATTATTGCACAATTATTATTTTAATCACAACTGTTATTCAATACAAAAAATAAACCTTTTTTTTACAAAAACTAAATAATGTATGCATTCATTTTTACGTATTCATCTTACGTATCAGTCTTTAACTTCATGCGTATAATATTAGAATATAATTAGCATATGATTAGAATATTAACATAATAAAATATATGAAAATGTAATATAAAAATGCAGTAACATACACTAATTACAAAAATAAAAATAATTTGAAATTATATTGTGTCACTGATTTTAAATGTCTTTAAACATTTTTAAACATTTTATAGTAATCTATAATCTGCTTTTATATCACAACGTAACCATCACAAAAACTAAAAAACATTTTCTCATGTACTAATGAAAATATAAATTAAAGAAACTTATGCTCTCTTACTGTATGTTAATTATTCTTTTGTGTTTCTACGTATTTTTTGAATAATTCCAAAAATTCCTTTTGCATTTTTATGTTTTCGTTATGATGTTTCTGTCTTTGTTCGTGTAACACTTTGGCCCATGTAGGTCCATCACTTGCTCGGCGTTGTCTTCTATTACGTATTCTACCATAAGAAGTGTTGATTGCTTATTTTCATCGTTAGGATCCTCACTTTGGTCTGTATGTGGACTTGATTGCCTTATCCTAAATCCATGTGAACTAGAAGCAATCGATGCAGGTGCTACTTCGGGTTTGATGTTAATGAAATCATCAATTATATCAAAATATTCCCAGCATTCTCTAGCTGTACCAGTTTGATTATTACGATCTCGAATGCTTCTATATTTTTGCTTCAAATTCTTCCATTTAACATCACATTGTTCCTCTGTTATGTTATATCCTCTTTGATTGAACTTATTTGCTATTATTCTCCATATTCTTTTTCGCATACAATTCTTTTTATCCAATAATGCCATACGGCTTCTAACTTCTTCTATTAAAAGTTTCGTAGTTTCATTAGTCCATTGAAATTTGTAATTTTCTGTAAAAGAACATATTATTAAAATAATATGTTATATGCATATTAATATTATGCTACAAACATTGTGAGAAAAAATTATTTCTGCAAAATACTACATTTTATTTAAAAAATCAAAATAATCAATTAAATACTCATATCATCAAAAAGATTAATTATATACTCGTACTCATATCATATGTATGTTTACATGTATCGCCGAAATTAAGTTAACTCAATAGTTATTAATTAGTACCCGTATCAAGTGCATAATATAAACTAAACTAATGACTCAGAGACGATTCGTCTACAAAACTTAAATTACTATTGTATGTATGTACACAATAAATATATATATATATATATATATA